ATGATAGAGTCTAGGAGAAGACTCGATATAAATATGAAAACCCAAAAGGAAGAAAGTAGCACAACGAGCATACCTAATCAACACAAAAAGTTATCTTTCCAATAAATATATTGGATATCAACATTCCAATTCAGAGAAACAAGTCGTAGTAAAATGTTTGACACCAATGGACGGAAATGAGGAGAACAATGAAAACGCTTAGACAAAATATCACAAACCGCCGTAAAGTAAGTAAAAGAATTGATTTGAAAAATTAAATGTTGCTTACCAATACTATATATCTGTCTATTTTGTTAGAACAACCATACTATATATCACAATTATAAAATATTTATATAAATTTTACCTCATTAACTATATATAAAGAATCAATCCATAGTCCATTGTTAAATTAAATGCACCTATTACTATAGCAAAAATTAATGGTTTGATCTTCTATCCTTACAATATTGTTGAACTAAAAAAACACTATAAAAAAGAAGAAAAATAATACGTATGAGTTTATTTATTTATTTTTTTAAAAAACAACAAATGTGAGAATAGAAGATTGAACTTTCGACTTCTGAGAAAGAACAAAATATCTTAACCGCTCAACTATGTTTGTGACGTGTGTTTTGTGAAAAATTAAAATTTAATTAATTTAGTAATTATATTCGCTGATGTGTATTAGACTTTACTGTTAATTGTTTTGTTACCGTTAGTTATGGCTTTGTGAATATTCTGTAATAGCAGTTTATTTATATGACTTCTTGGTCAATCAATAAAAATCAAGGAAGTTTTATTTAGACTCTCAAGTTTAATAATGTGGAAGCCTCGAGATAATATCTCTTTAGAATATATCCCAAAAGAAAAAAAAAATCAACACTACATTTGAAGCCTAACTTAGAATTGCCATATGGGAGATCTAGTTCCATGAATGTGATATATTTAACACTTCGAAGCCTAACTTAAAGTAGCTTTTCACACCTTCCAAGATTTGAATTGATTAAATTAAAACAAAATCACTTAAAAAGACCATCACACAAATATTATAAATTAATACCATTAGATATTATTATTAATTAAACATATACAAAAAATAATATAAATATCCCTAAGTTGTTAGTGCAGAAATGTTTGATTCACGAGTTATATATATCTGTACAACTTAAAAATTAAGAAACACTCATTAATGAGTTGATATATGTAAATTTTATTCATTCTAAATTCCTACAAATCTGTTAAATTCTATGAACTGTATAAACTTAATTACTTTTATCAAATTTTTATTAAAATCGAAAGTCAAACATTTCATCAAAGTGATCGCTCTCAGTCTAATGATTATGTTGAGAATCCGGATTATTTTATGCATATAAAAAATAATATTGAATTGAGATATGGGACTTGTTATTTTTTAAAAAATATATTATATAAAAAGTATAAAATGATGGTTACAGCCACTTGAAAAACACTGAACGGTCAGATATTAACATCTTTTCTTTACATTTAAAGAGGAAAAATATTGTCTAGGCGTGAAGCTAAAGCACTTATAATAAACTATAATATCTACTAGTTGTCTTCATTATATGTGTAATTATTTGAAAGAAACACTAAAAAAAAAATAAAAATTGGGAATGGTGGAGAAAAAAGGTGGTGGGAGAGGGTTGGTATTTTTTGATTTTGTTATGGTGGAGCATATTTATTATTTGAGATCTTTAATTCATTAATTCTTTTTGTGATGCGATGATTTTTCCATCATTTGTTTATTACAACCCATGTAAAATCTAGCCTTTCAATTATTATTTATTATTTATTTTTTTGTTTGTTGAGGTTTTAGATTTCATATTAAAGTATTATTAATGTAATCATGCTTTTATATATATATATATATATATATATATATATATATATATATATATATAATAAAAAGGAAAAGTTATTAAAATAGATAGTCATTTATGGTAATTATTTTTAGTAGTTTAGTTCTAGCTAGATGAGTAAATATAGATTAACCTTAAATCAACAAACACTTAATTACTATAAAACCATATTTTATTTTTGATGTCTTAGAAAGAATTTTTTCCTATCAACTAATAATCATAATGTTTTTAAAACTTTAGCCAGATTTATAATTTATAGGTATAATTCATTCTTGATGTTAGCTGTACTCTAGAATAATAAACTATGATCATGATCATGATCATGATTTTTCTTTTTCTTTTTTTTCCCTTTTTTAGCACATGATTTGTATTAATCTATAAGAGAGACCTAAACCTTAGTTTTTATTAACCATGGTTTATATATAGGTTTAGTTCACATTTTTTTGAACCACATGGTTTAAGACTGAATTTTTTTTAATTACTGTAGAGTATATTATTGCTTGTGAATTTACTTTTAGATCATATTATATACACAAACTCCCAAAATAAAACTACCTGCATTTCTCATCAGTACATTTTCATTTTTTTTCCTCGACTGCGTTCTTCCCATTTTAGGTGCTTTTACAATGTTTTTATTTTTATTTTTTTATGTTTTGAAATAGATATTTTTTTAAAAAAATATTATAATGGTAAAAAATAGCTAATGGGATAATTAATGAAAAACAGGCAGATCTCTTGGAGTTAAAAGGAGTCAAAGCACTAAACATCTAGTTGTTATTAAATATTGTTATATATAATTAATTAATTAATGTTGTAGCAAATCTCAGAATTTTATAATATAAGTCTTGAAGTTAGTTATTTATGAAGGAAACCCTACTTGGAACACTTCTTTTTTTCCACTTTACAAAGATCAAAAGAGAATTGAATGAGAATCCCCACTAAAATCCGCTCGTGCAAGTTTTTATTTAAAAGAAAATATATTTATATATATATATAATTAATATTATTTTAAGGGTTTGTAGAATGCCAATCATTATAAGTGGGATAGTGACTTGTATAACCATCACCAGCTTCCTCTTCAATTCCATGGTGGAACTCAAGTTACACGTGGATATATATTGAGCGATTTGACGTTGTGTTTTTGACTTACATGTTTTGATTTGTATAACTTGAAGCTTTTTCAAATCTAACTCTCCAATTCCATACTTTTGATTAGTCTCAAATTCCATAAGTTAAATATTGACTACATAAAACTAGATTCTTATAATCCATTATTATTCTTTTACACAGGCTAAATGCAGGAAGAGGGAAATTAACAATCTTGTTCTATAATTTCCTCCTCCACATATAACATCCAAGTACAATAAAAAAAAATTAGGTAGATAGGGAGAAAACTGTAAACACACCAGAATAATGACATGACAAAATTATACTGTGTAGTGGTGTCGCGTCCTCGGCCCATGTGGCCTGTACTGCCCCGCTTCCCTATTTTTCATCACTGCTTCGATCTCGACGCGTCCCGACTCGATCCCGACTCATTCCAACGTTGTTTTGACTCCACCAATTCCAACAGTACAAATGTCTCGGTCTTTCTATTTTTACTTTTAAACTATCTTTCAGAATTACAATTGTACAACTAGTACATGGACTTGAAATCGCAACATAAAAACTATTGGATCCGTCGGTCGAGATATTATTTTACCTCACTAAATTGCGAAATATACATGTACAGGGGAAGGTTATCGTGAGGTTCAATGGGGGCAGCATATCCCTCTACTCAATCTTTTTTTTATCTTTTATTTTTAATACAAAAATTCTCAATAAATATTCAATATTAAACTATTTCCCACTTTAATTTAACTTTACGAGCTCATATATGTATATTGTGTAGTACTGATTAGAGATTATAAAGAAGAATTTTAAGATATAAAACTCCTTTTTTCTTTCATTAATATTGAAATTGACAGTTTCCAAACAAATTTCCTTTTTGGGATATGGTCAGTGATGATCTCGACTCATTAAGAAAAGAGAATAAAATAATTGAGCTTGATTAATTTCAATTTAACCTAAGATGTCATTTCTACAATTTAATGATTAAATATGTTTTTTTTTAATTACACTTCAATAAAGTCATTTCTTCCATCCTTCCTAAATTCGATGCCGAAAAGATTTTTTCTCTTCTTTGCAATTTCGTGATTAAATATTCAATTTCTTTGATTATGTATATCAACTGTCTCAAAGTCGATGCCAGAAAAAACTTATTGTGACATATAGCTTTGTGCTATAGCTCTATTCTTCTTGTTATAAAAAAAAATATATATATATTATATTATTTTTCTCTTCTTTTAAATATTAGATCGAAAAGTCTAAGTCAAATTATAAATGAAGTACCAAATAATAATAATAATAATAATAATAATAATAATAATAATAATAATAATAATAGAAAGAAAAAAGAGGAGTGAGAAATGAAAATAGATAGTGGGATATGAACAGAACCAAAGACTTGTCGCAGAAAAAAGGCATTTTTTCTCTCTGTTTTTTAATTTTATTTTTAATAAGCTGTGTGAGTTGGAGCATAAAAGTCAGAGACACCCTTTTTGGGGAAACTGTCTGGGAGGCTTAAATAACCTCCAAACTCGAAAGCGGTGCACCCAAAACATTTCAGTACCCAAGAGATTGGCTACATTTCTAAGTTTTCGCCGTTGAAATTACTGGTCCAACCATTCAAATTGAATGAGATAACAATCTCTAGAGATCTTTCCTCCTCCCTACTTATATGAATCCATATAACCCGACACCTATTTATCATCTCAAAAGTCAATTTTCTTTCAAAAAGGGAAGAATCGACAGTAAAAAAGAAAGGAAAGAGCAACTAATATTGATTTTAGCCCGATTCTTTCTTCTATTTAATGCTGTTTAACATTACAACCAAGCTTGCATTCCACCGCAGATAAAACTTAGATCTTGAAGGAAAGAAGGCATAAAGAAAGGGGGAGAAAATAGAATAAAATAGTTGTTAATTTTTTAAAGTTGGTAAGTAGTAAAATACCCGCTCTCGATCACTATTACTTTTTATTCTTCCGCCATATCTCTTTCCTTTCACTGAGGCAAAAACAGAAAGTGAGACCAAAAA